GCCGACATCCCTGGAGACTCACCATAGTTCTTGCCCAAGGGGTGATCAGGACTAGCCATCACCAACCTGCTTCCTCCCTAGAGCATTCCTCGGTATTGTGACAAATGTCCTCCTTTCTGGATGAATATCCATCTCTCTGGACACCAGGAAACAGCCGGAGCCAAATGTTAAAAGGTAAGATGCATTTATATGGAGGGGCCTGGTGGGGCTGCTAGTGTCCCAGAGGATGGTTCTCCTCTTTTCTGAGGTTGGTATGAACCCGAAGTAGCAGTCTCTCTCAATGAGTGAGGCCTGGAGCCAATTTTCACCATCCCAGGAGAAAATAGAAGGTAAGTGCAGGGCAAAGATGGGAAGCAGAAGTGAAGAAAGATGCATCTGAGCTTCCCTGTTCATGCTTGATTTCCCTTATACTTCAGTTTGATATTTGGCTTTTGCCTTCTGCTTTCCACTTTGGCTTTGCACCTGTACTCCAGCCTTCTTTCTCCTCTGAACATATTCCTGGCAACTCTTATATATTCCCATAACTTACCCTTCTGCCCAACCAAAGCCTGCCTTCCAGATGCTTAGCCACATATTCCTGTTACTGGACTAGTGTGTTCTGGACTCATCTTTTACGAAGCAGGGAATGAGAATTGGAATGATTGTTAGGGCTTATTGGAGTTGGAGCCCTGAGGTAGGTTAGAGAATGGAATGATTTTTGTATACTCACCCATTGACATTATATATTCTCGTACAATTGGGATCCAGAAGAGCCCTTCCAAGGTCGCTACAAAAGGAGTGATGTCCGGGAAAATCCGAGCAAAGCCAGTGGCCTCAGTAGCAATGTTGACGAAGATACCATAACAGAGAATGCCATGGGGGTGGCTGGCAATAATATAGTTGTGTTTGGGAGACAGGTCATGGGTCTTCACCAGCTATTAGAGGGAGATGGAGTCAGAACAGTGGATAGGAAGAAGAGAGTTCATGTGGACTGAAATCCTAGCAGATAGACTGTGTTTCCCTTAGGGAGCCTGAAATTCCTGTTCAGTAGGATGTCATCATTGTCATAGGATTACCAGGGGTTATGATGCTCAGGGAGGGTGACCTGGGTATGTCACTATGAAGAAAGGCTGCTATCCATCCATCTCCTCACCTGCCCATCCACCTTGGGCCCCTACTTTGCATTATGCCTCTGGGGCTTGACCTTCACTACTGGTCACCAAAACCATTGAAAACATGGAACTGAGTGGGGAGGGAGAATCTGGGCAACAGGGACTGAATACATGCAGAGCAAGGGGTAGTCACCTTTACTGGGAAATAATTTTTGAAATACTTCCAGATGGTCCACTTTCGCACCCAATCTGAACGCCTACCACCTGGGTACAGAAGAAAAAGGAAGAGCAGGTGAGACATTTTGCCCATTCTTCTTCCTACAGTCCTCAGATCACAGGAGGGGCCTCTTCCTCGCACTTCTGTATTTCCAGGGCACAGAGCTCTAGGTACTGTCCCTGATTCCAACCCCCAAGAAGTCATAGGAAGCCCCTTCTCCTTTGGAGCCAGCCAGAAAGGTTACAGGGCAACAGTGTGAGGCTGGGCACCTGCCCGGAAGCTCAGCCTTTTCATTCTTCTTGGGCCGCCTGGCAGAGACCGCTGTTCTCTACTGAGCTTTGCGCCCCTCTTTCCGTCTCCTTCCCTTACCCCGCTTTGCATCTCCTTTCTCCTCCTCTCCACCACCCCACCTTTCCTCTCCTCCTCTCCCCTCCCCTTCCCTCCCTTCTCCTCACCCCTTCTCCTTTTGTTTCTCCCACTCTCTCCCTCCACCTCCCTCAACCCGTGGTTCAATCCTTGGTGCAGACATGGACCACCACTCTTCCCGCGTCTCTTACCTTGACTGTGAGTGTCCCAATCATAGGCGAGCCAGGCAAAGATAAGCACAGACAAGGCCCAAAACTTAGTGAACACCAGACAGTAAGGTAAAAGGAGGAGAGAAGTACATCCTGAGGAGATAAAAAGGGTTCATGCCCTTCAGTTTTCTTCAAGTTTAACACACCCCCCATAACCCTAATCTTTGCTCTATACTGAAGGAGCAGGTCTCTCCCTTTTCCCCCACCCCACCTCCACCCCTGCCCAGCTCTGTTATGGTCCGGGCTGACTGCTGATTCTCTGAATTTGGCCCTCTTGTTGGCTGAGATCTTAACTGAAGAAATAGCAGAACCACGATGTTCTCAGAGAGGGCCTGCAGCTGAGGTCAAGACACAGTACTACTTGGCAAGGGGAAAGAACAGCTCTTTGGGTCAGCGGCTGGCATCCCCGTTCTGGAACCTCGGAAGTCCTTCCTAAAAGCTTGACCTTCTTTCCTTTGCGGAATTGCTAAGGCAGCACATTCCAGCAGAGAGGGGCTGCCTGCAGTGTACAGGCTGTCTGATTTTGAGAGGAAAATACACATTAGAAATTGCTTTATTGCATTCAATTTTGTCCCATTCAAAATGTCTCCAAGGTTCATAAGGGGAAAAATGATCTGTTAGCAAAGGGCCATAGCAGGCTGTGAAAGGCAAATGTGACACATCTGACAACAGGAGGAATTGAATTCCATTTTTAAATCTGCGTTCATGAGAAAGGGGCTAAGTATACATATTTTGAATAAAAAAAGACCCAGCTAAGGGAAAGATTTCTTTGACCAGGTAGCCACATCACGATAGATAAAATTTCAGAGAAGGGGAAGAAACTCAAGAGTTACCTACCAGCAGGTTTGTTTCTTGCATTTTGGACATAGATGAAAATAACAGGAAAAAGACAGGATGGACATTTCTTTAAAAACTCATGTCGTGGAGTAGAAGAAACCTTAGTGCTGGCTGAGATGGTTATTGTAAGCATGCTAATTAAATAGGAGATAGTGGTGGGAGGAATTTTATGGGAAGGCTCATGGATGAAAGTCCTGCTACCTCTGACCCTCATGAAAGATGAGAGCCATTTTGCCGGGTAAGCTTCAGAAGAAAACTCAGATAAAGTTAAATAAAAATAATTATTAATTAAAGGTACTCTAAGCGTATCATTTCTTTTATATATTGCTTCAAATAAATTTAGTTTGTACCCCCAATATTTAGAACAGCACCTTACACACATTAGGTGTTTAACAAACATCTGTAGATGAGCTGAAAGATAAACAAATGTTTTCTCTTTTTAGGAATAGGTAAACTTAAATGGTTAGTGTTTAGTCAGCATTTATATTGTTTAAATGAGATGTTATTTAAAAGGCATAGAACATTGATTGTGTGCCTTATGTCTCATCTCTTTCAGTTATCCTAGAGGTAGACTAGCAAGAGCTTCACTTGGATAAACACCATCCCCTTTGTGGAATCTATTTGAATTGCAGGTCTGGCACCTCAGGAGACCATGTGTCTTTGAGGGCAAACCTACCAGACTGAGCTTGTTTGAGTGTTATCGGTATCACGGCAAGAATGATGACGAACAACCATTTGTGTATATGTATGTGTGACTCTTCCTTAGATATTGTGCCCTTGACACCAGGAGATGCTTTCAACATCTTGTCTATGTTCAAGTGAGGAATCTTGGAGTGGATTGGCAAGGAGGAAGTTCACATTAGGTAAGCTCCGAATTTAGTTTGTACTGAAGATGGCCAAGCCATTCTACTAGATGTGTAGTGTGGTATCTCATCATAATTTTAATTTGCATTTCCCTAATACAACAGCTTTTCGCGTGCTTATCTGTCTTCTGTATATCCTCTGTGGTGAAGCGTCTGTTCAGATATTTGGCCCATTTTTCAATTGTTTGTTTTCTCATCGTTGAGTTTTGAGAGTTCTTTATCTATTCTGGTTATAAGTCTTTTATCAGAGATGAAGTTTGCGAACATTTTCTCCTGTCTGTATTCATCTTTTCATTCTTTCAACAGGGTCTTTCATAGAGCAAAAGCCTTCATTTTTTTTTACAGATTGTGCTTTGGATGTCAAATCTAAGAACTCTTTACCTAACCTCAGATCATGAAGGGTTTCTCCTATGTTTTTTATTAAAGTTTTACAGTTTTATGTTTTACATTTAGATTTGTGATCCATTTTGAGTTAATTTTTTAATAAAATGTGAGGTTTTGGTCAAGATTTATTTACTAAATATGGATTTTGAATTGCTCCAACATCATTTGTTGAAAAGACTATCTTTCTTCCATTGAATTGCTTTGCGTCTTTGTCAAAAATCAATTGGCCATATTTGTGTGGATCTATTTCTGGACTCTCTATTCTGTTCCATTGATCGCTATGTCTATCCATTCACCAAGACATCACTGTCTTCATTACTGTAGTTTTCTATTAAGTCTTAAAATCAGATGTGATTCCTCCAGTTTTATTCTTTTTCAAAATTGTTTTAGCCGTTTCGCTTCCTTTGATTTTCTATATACATTTTAGAATTAGCTTGCCTATGTCTATAAAAATTCCTGGTAGGAGTTTTGAAATAAAGCTTTTTATTATGAAAAGAAACTTTAGAGCAACAGAAAAATTGCAAGACTTTTAAATAAAATCCCATATAACTTTCACTTAGATCTACCAATTGTTAACATTTTATGTTTGATTTATCTCTAACTATAAAAATGTATGTTTGTATTTGGGAATACATTGCAGAGATCCCAACCCTTGGCTCCGAAATACCTAAGTGTGTGTTTTCAAAAGAAATAGCACTTTGGGGAATTCACTATGTATGTAAAATTCTTATCTAATATACTCTGCTGGGATTTTTATCTGAATTGCATTACATTTATAGATCGATTTGGGGAGAATTGATGTTTTTATTATATTGAGTCTTCATGAATACAGTATGTCTTTAATTTTAGGTCTTTAGTTTTATTCATTAGCACTTTATAGTTTTCAGCCTACAGATACTGTAAAGGTTTTGTTAAATCTATTCATATTCATTTCATTTTTTTTTGGAAATGTCAAAATGGTATTGTTTTTTAAATTTCTATTTTCAGTTGTTCTCTGTTAGTTTAGAGAAATGTGGTTGATTTTTGTATGTGATCTTGTATCTCGTGACTTTGTTGACTTCATTTGTTAGTTCTTGGAGTTTTTTTTTTTTTTTTTAATACATTCCTTGGGATTTTGTACACAGACAATCGTGTCATCATCTGTGAATTAGGACAGTTTTATATTTCATTTTTCAATCTATATGCTTTTCATTTTTTCTTCTTGCCTTTTTGTCCTCGCTAGAACTTTTAGTATGATGTTGAACACAAATGGTGGGAGTGGACATCCTTGTTTTTGCTCCCAATCTTAAGGATAAAGCTTCCACCATTAGTATGGTGTTAGCTGTGGGTTTTTTTTGGGAGGGGGTGGTAGATGCTCTTTATCAAGTTCAGGAAGTTTCTTTCTGGTCTTAGTTTACTGAGAGGTTTTATCATGATTGAAGTTGATGTTTGTCAAGTGTTTTTCTACATCAATTGATATGATCATGTGTTTTTTCTTTCTTGGATGGTTAACGTAGTAGTTTACATTTTTGATTTTTAAATATTTACACTTACATTCCTGAAACAAAACCCACTTGGTCATGGTATATTACGCTTTGTAACACATTGCTGGATTTGATTTGCTAGTGTTTTGTTGAGGATTTTTGCATTTAAATTGTGTTTTTCTACATCAATTGATATGATCATGTGTTTTTTCTTTCTTGGATGGTTAACGTAGTAGTTTACATTTTTGATTTTTAAATATTTACACTTACATTCCTGAAACAAAACCCACTTGGTCATGGTATATTACGCTTTGTAACACATTGCTGGATTTGATTTGCTAGTGTTTTGTTGAGGATTTTTGCATTTAAATTTATGAGGAATATTGGCCTATAGTTTTTTCTTTTTCTTTTTTTTTTTTTTTTTTTTTTTTTTGGTTTTTGGTTTTGGTTACCGCAACCTGCCAGTTAATTTTGCCTATGAAAAATATTTATAATTAAAATCAGTGG